GTCAGCTTTAGATGGCTGGGTTAGGGAACGTAATGCAATACTGAGCTTATGCTTGCCAAAGGAGTAGTAGTTTAAAGTGCTCTAATGTTTTTAATCTGCATTTGTGGAACAGAAAACCATTCAGATTGTCTGTTCATTGAAAATGTCCTTTGGTTCCTCTTTTCAGTGATGCTGAAATTGCCAGGTAGTTTAGTGCTTGCAGTTCATAACGTTATTGTTCTGCGAATGGGTACTGTGTGCACGTGTAATAGCGATAAGCTTTTGGAGCTGATAGAATAGAATGAGAGGCTGAAATTGTTTTTTGGGGAGAGAGATGACGTGTGTATGGTTTTTTGATTATTTTTTTTCGTTTCCCCTAGGCCTAATAATAACTTACTTGCAGTAACTGTGCTTTGCAGCATAGGTCCATCTCTGCACAGCTCGATGTGGGAGTTTGGGTGTAATTTACAGGTATGCAGCAGGTTGCACAAACAGAAGGGGTTGAGTTCATAGGACATCCAGAACTGCCCCTGCTTTTGTGATGGAGGTTAACAGTGATTTGCCTGTAAGATGTAATAATGTTCTGTCCCAAAATAAACACAACAGTGACAGGCTGTATTTTTCAAAACTGCAGAGCATTAGGGATTTGGCACTCCTGTGGTGTTTCCCTGTGAATACTGGTAGAACAGATCTAGATTTACTCCCTGTGTCCTTTTGTGTAAAGATAAGAGAGCAACATGTAGAAATTGCAGAGTACTTCAACCTCTACTTCAAAACTTCACAGAATTTCTAGGTTGGAAGAGACCTCGAGATCATCGAGTCCAACCTCTAGCCTAACACTAACAGTCCCCCCCACTTCATCTAGTGTAGTCAGTAATGGCTACTTAGAAAACACTCATGTTTTGGCCTTCAGAACCAGTAAGCTGTTCAAATTGTGCAAACCTTCTTAGGAGTCCACTGTGCGTGGCCAGACAAGAATGCAGCCTAATTTGGGGTGTGTGCCTGCAGTCCTCACAGCGTGGATCCTATTCGATCTGCAGGCGGTGGCAGTAAGTTACATCCCTGATGACTGGCCACAGTCAGATATGCCCAGAATTCAGTACCGAGAGTGGATTGGTCTTGAATATTCAAAGCAGGGATAGACATTTTCTTTCTCTCGTCTGAAAATATTTTCTTAATGTCTCTAAGTTCTGTGATCCTTGCCCCTTTTGTTGGTACGGATGAGTGCTACAGCCCCCAGGTTCAGCTGGCACACTTGTTTGCAGTCATCTTTCTGATGCTGTGCTGCTGGTCTTGCTGCCTTTCTCCCGTGTCTGGCTGTCATCCAGATTCTCACTGTTCATGTGTTATCTTTTGTTTGTTTTTCCTCACTCAGTAGACTGTCTTCTTCTTTACTTTGTTTTTCACTGTGGTTTAGCTTCTTATCGTGCAATATAATTCCTCTCTCTTCCCTCCCTACCACCTCCCTTGTGTTTTTGGATGATGACTGGTTTGTTTCATTTGCTTTTTACAGGGCTGTAACAGAGCTGTGTGCCATCACAGGAAGGATACCCTGATTGTTGGTGATTTTCAGGCTAAGTGAGAAATCCCACTTCAGGAGGACTATTTCTTGGTGTTCTTGAGCACCTCTTTCATAGAGGAAATAGCAATGAAAAGATTACACGACTGTTCTTTTTTTTCTGTAGGGGAAATAATTTGGATACCTTAGGTTAGTGTTTTTTCTTGATTGCTGTTTCCTTATACGCAAAGAACAGGTCTGCATATGTGTCTGCTTCATTCAGGTTTGTTTCAAGCTCTGCTGGCCTGCTTTGAGAGCTTGAGTAACATGGAAGAGATGATTGTTCCTCATCTTGACTGTGTAGGACAATGTCCTGTCCTGTTCCGAGACGAAAAAATGCTTTGTTTCCTTTATTCCATGTCTCACAAGAGCCCGTGGCAGGCCTTCTCTGGTCAAAGAGTGCAAGTTTGTAGCACTTTTTATTGTCGTTCTTGGAGTTTCTGCTTATATAATCCATCCTTACTTCAGCTTTTCTTAGTTAAATCTTATTTTGCCGTAGAAAATTCTTCAGGAACACTGTTCCTTCTGGTGACTGGAATCTAGCATGGTAGTGAGTTGACTAATAGCCCGATAGAGATTATTTAAATTGCAAATATGAAGTTAAACACATTGCAGCTCTCTTATAGGGAAAAACTGCTTGGAAGATGTTCTGCCCTTTGGAGAGGGTTTGTGTGTGTGGGGAGGCTATGGTTTAGTCCCCTTCTTGCAGGTGACTTGCTCGCTGTCCTGATGAGGAGCTTTTCCCTTGGAATTGCTGCATGCTTGGCTCTGGTCTCAGTGCGTGACTTCACCGTGGTGTTAAGGAACTGGTATGTGTGGGTGAAGGGCAACTAAGGAAGTTGGTTATGGAATAAAAAAATTTAAAATTTGGCAGAAGATCAAGAGATTTGGAGGAAGAATTGTCAAAGAAGTTTTGTTTAAATGTCTCAGAATATTGAGGAACTAATTCTGTGGTGTTTTTTTTTTTTTTGTCTTGTTGCTTGAGGGACCTGTGAACTTGAGCGCTCACCTCTTGCTATGTGTGAGTAGACAAGTACAAAACATCCTCATGCCCTGAGCAGAACACGGTTGAAGTATTTCCATCACCGGTGTCCTGATCTTTCTATTTGTTTCACGATTTTGTTAAAGCACAGCAGCTTCCTACCCTGTGCAGGTGCCTGCTCTGCCTTTGTGGGTGACAATGCCACAGTGCCCTCTGTGCACCCACAGCATCCCTGTGGCCAGTTAGTTGATGAAGGATTTGGAGGAGGCACAACAGCTTTACCAAGCCACATTGATTAACTTGAGTGTGTTGTCATTTCCTTGGCTGTAATATTTTTTATCTGTAGTGTTTCGATACATTTTCTGGTGTTTTTGGAGTTTTCCCATGGACTGTACAGTTATTTTTTTTTATGTTCATCTTTTCTTTGCTATGAAATGCCCCAAGGTAGGCATTCTTAACCTTCTAGCAACTGAGCTGGTGAGTTTTATGGCTCTTTAAAGGGTTCCTAATAGATTTATAAATACAGCAATTACAAGTGTTTGCTTTATAACAAATGTGTTCAAAGCAGTTAATTTAGCATTTCAAGATAAAGTGGCCCTTGTACTGAAACTTCACATAACTGCTTTGCTGCAGATTTTGTCTCCAGTTGGAGGGAGGAGATGGATACTTAAAGCATCAAATCCACCACCCTTTTCAAGTCCTGGTTCATCAGATCTGGTTACTTGGGCTTGATTACAGAGCACAGCGATTGCCATGCTCTAGTCGTAATAGACTTAGCTAAAACTTAGGCTGCAAAGTCTACAATGTTATTTCACTGTTTTTTATGGTATTAATGATCGTGTTTAACTTTGTGGTTTTGTTTTAATTATTAATTCCCATTCAATTTAAGGGTGTCATCTGCGTAGTAAGAATTACTGCGTGGTGTAGTTTAATACAAAACCTGAGTGTTAAGTTTTATTTTAAAACAAGACAAACCCTGCTGTATACGTTCACAAAAGTACATGTGTTTTGATTGTTTGGTGTGTTGTCCTAGAACAATTTTCATGCTGTTCACTTGTTGCTGTTCATGTTTCCTGGTCTTTATATATGCGCTGTTGTGTGGTGTCTGAGTCTTTTGTGCAGTCCTAGTGTTGCTTATGCTATAAGCAAGTTCTAAATTAATGTAATTGTTGAAGCAATAAAAGTTAAAAATACTTTTGGGGACAGAGCCTATCTCTAATTTGTCTTGGAGCATTTTTTGAAATGTCTGGAGAAAAGTCTGCAGGAGCTCTGCAAATGTCATAATTACCCAGCTAGCTTTCTGAAGATTCATTATTTACATTTAGCATTCATTATTACAAGATGAAAGCATTGGTAGGTTGAAAATAGTCATTTGTAACCATAATTTTTTCTTGTTGTAGTTCCCACCCACTCATTCACCCATGCACTTCAGCCTCAGAATGATTTCCTATCCTGAGAGTTCATGGGAACTATGAACAAGGGTAGCTGTTGTGATAGCAATTATAAAGACTAAAAAAAAAAAAAGTGGGTTGGAGAGAGCAAAAGAACAAGGAACAGTTGCGTCGATTTCATGTTCTTCTGATCAAAAGCCTAGAGACAGATATTAAAAACTCTTAAATCTGGAATGCTGCAATTTTGCATGTTTTCTTCTTACATCTCTTCTACATTTCTTAAAATGTGTTTTTCCAACATAATTTTCTGCTAGTTCAGCTTTGGATTTGTTTTTCTTATTCATATTTAAGCTTTTTTATTTATTTATTTATTTTAACATTAAACTTTCTTGAACTCTGCCTTTTTGGTATTCAAAGTATTTCGGTTACCTGGAATGAGGCAGGAAAATTCTGAATGTAATTAGTGGAAGGCCCAACATTCATGAAAAGCTTCCTGGAAAATTAAGTTAAATCCATGGAATTAAAGTTGCTTTAGTCAGAGGATTAAGAGCTCGTTGCAACAATGCTTCAAAAAATAAAAATAACTTTAAAAAGTTACGTCATGAGCGCAATAAGTAGCCTAAAATTTTGGAACCTTTTTATGAAGATCTAAATCTGATCTATTTATGGCTGTGATATGAAGTATACGTTTGAGTAATGTAGATCTGAATTGGAAATGAACATTGCAGGATTTAAATCAGCTTTTCCTCCTGTAGAGAGGCTCTAAGGATTTCTTCAGATTTGTGGTAAACCTGACTCTTATTTTTAAATGCAGTGATAATGTCCTTACACTGTTAATATGGAGGAACATGTAAACAATCATAGGTTTGCATATTTTTCTATGAACTGATGGGCATGCATAATAGCTTAAACACATTAAATCGTATTTTTTCAAAAAGCCAGGCATTCCTCTGTTGCTTATGCTGTTTTGTGCTTTGTTCATATTTCTGGACATGTGTATATATACATACAGTTTTTATGGAAGCTATTTGAGAAAATGTTCCTTAATATCTTAATGCTGCTACAATACCGACTGTGAATTCTTTTCCAGGTGCCCAGATTATTGATTTGATGATGCTCGTAATCGATGTGACAAAAGGGATGCAGACGCAGTCAGCAGAGTGCTTGGTAATTGGGCAAATTGCCTGCCAGAAGATGGTGGTAGTTCTGAACAAAATAGATCTCCTTCCAGAGGGGAAGAGACAAAGTGCCATTGAGAAGATGACGAAGAAAATGCAGAAGACCTTGGAAAATACAAAGTAAGTTAACAGTAACATTAACAGCTAGTGTGTAACAAAAATACTGCCCACATTTCACTTTCAACGTGCTTCTAAATGCAGCTAATCTCATCCCTGCTGGATGAGATATTCATACAGATATAGCTTGCCATGATGATGAGAAGAAAATGGAAAGATTACCAGAAATTCAAATTCAGTTCTGCATTTGCATCTGCAAGTATCGTGTATGGAGAAATATTTGAGTGTAATGAAACTTCTCAGTTTAAAGGACTGCTTTGAGTTCTGATTGAATAAAACAAAGCAAGAAAGGCTGGGTGAAGAACCTTTTTTTGTAACTTTTCTTGTGATCCAGATGTGTTCTATTTCTCTTTTTTAACTAAAGAAGAAAGAGGACTTCTCCATAACTGAGAGCGAAAGATGTGATCGCCCTAACTAGGGTGATAAAGCTGCCTTGTAGTTATGTATGGGACTGATCAGTATTGCCAAGAATCTAATTGATGATGTTCCTGAAGTTTCTATAATACGATGTGACTCTGTCTGGGCTGGTGTTTGTCAGGCATGTTCTGTTTAATTGACAAAATGATGGGTGAATGAAAACGTGGCTGTTAGGAGGTGGAAAGATGTGATACAGACACCGTACTCCCTCAGTGGTTACAGAAATTGACACACAGCTTATTTTGCCTAGTATTGTACAGGGATGTTGACTCCCGTATTTATAGCTGTTGGGTCACATTTTGATTCTGAGAATCAAAGAAATAAGGTCCAGCGTACAGAGGAGAGAACTTGATGAGGGACAAAAGAGCAAAGCATGGCTGGATATGGCTGTTCTTGCTTAGCTTATTTGTGATGGTAGGGGAATGTCCCTCTTCAACTATGCAACTGCTGCCGTAGAGACTCTGGAGATCTTGCTGTCTTTCCAGCTCATCAGTAACGTGGGTTTGTTTGTTTTGCTTGGAATAGTACAGAGGTCACCAAGAATGTCAAATTTCCTCTTGTGAACTGAACCTAGTCAGGATTCTACAGCTTTCAATTCTCTCCAGCAGTTGATTTGAGGACAAACAGATAGAGGTGGCTTGTTTTTCCTCTGTGGGTTGTTACATCTTATTTCAGGGGAGGTAGAGGAGGGAGGTACCTGCAATATGAAAAACTTTTGGGCATTTTGGAACAACAGTCTTTTATAGGTGTATTTGATCAAGTTCACAGGTAATCCCAGTGGAGAGAGCATTGAAATAATTATCTCTAAAGTTTTCATAACTATGTTACCAAATAAACTTATTATGCCTTTATATGGAACGTGAATTAAGTAGCATTGCAATTAATAGTTATTTTGTTTGTCTCATCTAAAATAACCACAGTCTATGCCAAGAAGTTAAAGATTTTTTAATAACTGAGCTTATCTTCATATTCTACTCATTTATTTTGTCCTCCTTTTAAAATTTGTATATGCATGGCAGTAATTGCTGCTGGAGGTGATACTTCAGTCTTGATTTAGTCCAAGATTGTATTCCATATGATAAAGGAAAATACTGCTTTTCGAGTTGCATGTTCATAAAGGGAATACTTAATCTTTGTAAGGAAACCGGTGCTCAGTAATACTTATGTAAGCTGCCTGAATTACACCTTTTCTTTATATCCTGGAGTACAGGTGGAGTACAAGTATGTCTTACAAATTAGCATACTTCCTCAAAACTGAGGGGGAAGTGTTTTTGAAACACTGGCCATGTTAGCTGTGAGGTCCTTTCCTGCAGCCCCTTTTTAAAACAAGGATGTGCATCAGCTGATCACAGCAGCCATAAGACCACATGGAGAGAATGGGTCTGTCATAATGTTTTAATTATTCAGTTGAACTCTGGATCCTAGAAATGCTCTTTCATCAGATGTCTGTGTGTTGTTCCCGTAACAAAAATTCCTTTTTTTTTTTTTTTTTTTTTTGCAAGTGTAGTCTGTGCTTTACGATGCTTTGAAAGCTTTGCTGGCCTGGGCTGATTGTAAAGTGCATGTCCCATTGTATATCAGGCAAGCGTTTTTTCTTCAGTCTTTTCCCACTTGACTTTAAATTTCCAAATGCATGCTTCTTAACTGTTTTTATGTTTCTAAGCTACTTTTATTAAACTACTTTTATTAGCAGGGCATGTGCTGAATCCATCTGACAGCTGCCTCAGACACTTGTCAATGAGGTGTTTCCCAAGACTAGTTTACTCGCTGAGTATTTCTTTACACATGCATGCATGCACAATACCCTAATACTAAGAAAAAGTGAAGTCTGCTGCAGCTGTAGAGTAGATGTTAACCAGTTTTCAGAGGGAATTCTTGTGGTGTTGTCAGGAGATTCCACGGAGGGTGAAAAAATAGGCAGAGAAAAGCAACTGTCGTATTTGCCTAGATTGACACCTGTAAATTTGACCTAATCAAAACTTGCTTGTTCCACTGATTGATACTGCAAGTAAAAGCAAACTGTCTCAATGTCTCTATTTCTATTGTCATATTTTTTTACACATGCCAGCTTTTATCTTTGCCCAGCAGGGTCTAAATTCTGACAATTAGCATGGTGGAGTAACAGTTTTAATAGGGCCAAATCATGTTTGGAAGTAGCTCCAGTGGCATTATATGATTACTCTAGTTTGTTCTGGCATATGGGAAAAGGAGTAAGGCATTTGGTTCAGCATGAACTTGAAGTTACTTTAATACATTGCCCTAAAGGGCTTGTGTGAAAATAAACTTCCAAGAGTTTCATGGTTAATCACAGAAATTTTCAGGGCACATTTTTATTACCCTTTGTTCCTATATGCCTCAGACTTATGGCATATAAACAGAAAAAAAATCTTACGTTACTGAATTACAGTTTCATCACTAAATGAGCTCCCTCTACAGAATCTAGCATATTTTTCTTTATCATGGTACTGTCCTTTTTCCTCCACTTCGTTCCCTTTTTGAGATAAAAATCTATGGTTTTGCTGTGGGGAGTCACAAGGATGGCAGCAGTCATGACTTTGCCTGAATCAATTGTGTAAGAATCAAGGATCTGTGAGAACCAACCAGTTATTAGTTTTACTGCTGATTATTATTCCATTGCTTCACGTATATGAATTAACATGGTTAATCCTGAATTTTGCAAAAATGCAGTAATAACTTGACTTATCTAATTTCCCTTTCTAAAATGTAGGCAAAGCAAGCTATCAGATGAGGTGAACAATAGGTTGTGTTTTAGGGAGCAAATGGTACGAATTCAATCAAGAGGCTTAAAAAAAAGCTGCTGAATAATAAGGGCTTGGAGAATAAAATTCACTGAAAGAGAAAAAGCTAAACTGGGGTCAGAAAAGCTAAACTGGGGTCAGCTGTGGAAGTACTGCTGTTCTCAGAAGCTTTACATGTTTGAGATTTGTTTCATAAATTTTTATTTTAGTCGAATTAGATCTTTCTGCTGTCTGCAGATCTTACAGGCTGTCTGCAGACACAGGCAGATATCATGTGCCATCATACATTTGGCTTCTGTTTTATGGATTATGACTACAGCTAGGATTGTAATTGTTTTAATGAAAGTTAAAACCTGTGTTAGTCTCCAGGTAAAATGCAAAGTCACTGTGATAAGCCTGAGTAATGGTCCTTGTTTCTGAAATGAAGTCTTACTTTTGACTGCCACTGGAAGTTGAATCTGGCTAATGCTGAACAGCCCGAAAAATTTTATAGGGAAGTCTAATAGTACAAATGACAATAACTCCAGAAAAAAAATTGTCATCTGTTCACCATGGGGGAAGAACAGAAATCAGAATCTGAGGCAGATTCCCTGCTTTCATTGCCAGGTGAGTCTAATTTACATATGTAGGAGATCTAACGGTGGGAGTCTTTCTCTTTCAGGTTCTGTGGGTGTCCTATCGTTGCTGTTGCAGCAAAGCCTGGCGGACCAGAAGCCCCAGAGTCTGAGAATCCACTAGGTGTTTCTGAATTAATTGAGGTACCTGCTGAACAAACAATAATCATGTAAAATCAGCTTGAGCATCTTTAAATCTTTTGGACTGTAGTGTTAGTATTGAGAGATGAGGAACTCCTGCCTTACTCTCAGCTTTATGTCACCTAATTCTTTGGGGATTTCTTCCAGGGAATGGAGAAGCTGAGGATGTGTGCCCTAAAAGTGGTTCTCCTTTTTCAACTGCTAGGCTTCAAAGCCTTTGAGTAGCTGTCTTCAGAAACAACTATCACACGTGGTAAAATTTGTTCTAAAGTTGTCAGGAATTACAAAGCATAACAAATAAAAATAACTTCAAAATTCTGCCAAATCATTGGTAGGTGTTAATTACACTGCAGTTAAGAAAACAGTGAAGCTGTGAAGTCAGGCGCTCAGATTATGCATATGTGAATGTCTCCTTCATTATGATACAGTGCTTAAATGCGTGATTCTTTATTCTAAATAACCCTTGCCTCCTTCTATGCGCGGGATGCACAAAGCTCAATTACTGAGCAGGCAGTCAGTATTTTGTTTTAATTCTCATTATTCTGTGTGGCCTCATGACTCCATTCAAATACTGCTCTGTGCTCAGAATGATTAATTTCCTCCTGGACTTTTCTTTGGCACTCATCGCTGGACTTGAACACTTGGCAAACAATTAATTTACTTCGAAAAGACCTATAGGAAGTGTAGAGGTGACTTATCCCATATTTAGATTGGGAAGCTGTGGCACAAAGGAGTTAAGTCCAATGAGTTTACTAATTTTGGATGCCACATTTAAGGAAACTAGGAATTCTTCTGGGACACACTTGTTTTCGAATCAGAGTATCTGCCAATTTTGTTTGCAATTGTGAGTGCTTAGCACTCTGTTTATCAAGCTTTGTGGTTTCTGTTTGGACACTCCGAAGTATACAGTCAGTGATTACCTGTGGAAAGTTCCATGCATCATCATTCTCTTAAAAAAAAAAAAAAAAAAAAAGTTCTTGCATAAAGCGTATAATCTGTTCTTTAGAGCAACACCAACCTGCCTTCACAATGAATCCATCTTTCTCTGATAGTCTGCCTTGTTTACTGCGTGTCTTGCACTTCTGCTATAGATAAAATGCTTAGCTTGGATTTATCCTGTGCCCTGAATGAGGTCAGGTTTGGAAAAAGCTCAATGATGGTATATTGGATAATTACATCAAACACGTATGAACAAGAGAAGTGTTAAAGCAAACTAATGCTTCAGAGGTATCCCTAGTTTTAGCTATGCTCAATTTTTATTTTTTTTGTAAGTAAACTGAGCTTGACGAAAATGAGTTATACGGTAAAAGAAAATGAGCTATATGGTAAGTTATATGGTACAATGCTTAAACTGTGAAGGGCAGGGCACTTAGGATAGCTGTTTGAGATAGATGGCATGTACCAGATTGTCACCCCTGTGAGTAAACATTAGGGAAGAGTGTAGCATGTCTTTGCCCTGGAGGGGTGCTGCAGCTATTTGCAGGCAGCAGAAGGGGTGCTAAAACAAAGGCATCATCTTGCCAACGTCTGATACGGATCTGTTGGATGCTGCCACCTTTAAAATAAAGGGTAAATTCCTGCAAGCACGAGTCACCAGAAACTTAGGGTTGTCTTGCCTGCAGCAGGTTGGCTGAAAACAGACTCTGCAATATCTAGAGAGCTGGAGATAGGCAAGTCTTTAGTTTTGCCTTCATTAGGTCCAGGTAGATTTACAGGGCCATTCCCCAGGTTTAAAACCTTTGGAGGAAATACCCAAGTTGCAGCTATTTGTCAACTCAGAGACATACTGTTTAGCAAAGCTGGCAAATGCTGTGAGAGCCCTGCCCCTGAGCATTACCCTCTCTCTCCTTGATAAGAGGCTCCCTCTCCGTTGTTCTGCCATTATGACTTAGGCTTAACCTCCAGTTTTTGACCTTAAAAGCAGATGCTAAAGGCATTGCCAAGTTTATATGCTGATATTGTAACAAAGACAAAGATCAAAAGTGATTTGAGATGGGTGAACCAGTTCCTCTGAACCACTGCTGGGTATGTGACTGCAGTTTTATAATTAGTCTTCTGCCTATGATGATGTATTTTAAGAAGCATAGTTATTTGTCAGCAAAACAGAAATCCTAAACTTTGATATTTTCTCTAGAAAATGATACTTACATAGCTATTTTTCTTAGTGGCTTGATCCTCCAAGAAGTGTTAACGTAAATCTGAAGGGGAAGTTGACTTTGAAACTTATCCCGGTGTAATAGTTTTTCTGGGAGGGAGGCAGGGATGGGGCTAATATCTTTATGTAAGTTAATTTGCACTAAATCAAAAAGAGCTGAAGTAGCAAAATACACTGTAAGACTGTACTTTGAGGGTGGGGAGGAGGGGGGAGACTGGGTGCAGGATTTTTTTTTCATTTGCTTTGCTACAGTGTTTATATTGAGTTTGGCAGCAACTTTATTGCCAGTGCAGTTCTGCTAACCAAGCTAAATGTGCAGCACCAAATCTTTCTAAGGCAGAAAATCGAACTGTTCCTGCTGCTAAGTGTGCATCTCCTCTATGGCACGCACAGTTAATTTGACATTGGTGCGTTCTAAGCTCGCTGGGAGATGCCTGAAATCAGTAAAACTGCAAGCCTGTTCAATCAATCATCCGCTTGCCTTCCTTTTGCTGTATGGCTGTCATGACTTTTCACCCAGGCATGGTTCTGCTTTTATCTTTCTTTTCTCAGGTCCTGAAGTCTCAGGCTTACCTGCCATCAAGAGACCCCTCGGGAAACTTCCTTATGGCAGTCGACCACTGTTTCTCTATCAAGGGTCAAGGCACGGTGATGACAGGGACTATTCTTTCTGGCTCTGTTAGCCTTGGTGACAATGTGGAGATTCCTGCCCTGAAGGTGAGTCTCTCATTTTCACTCCCCCCAGTTTTCCTGATAGAAAGAGACATTCAACAAAGAAGAGTGTGTTCTGCAGTCTGAAATCGTTCCATTATTTTCAGTGTCATTGCTTTTCTGATACTCTAGTATAAGCTACATTTACAATAGGGAGAAAGAGATTAAGTAACACAGCCAGTAAAGTTACCTGCTCCATTTTAGTTGAATGAAGAAGAGGGAAGGCTGACCTAGATGAGTGTGTTAGATTTTCAACTTCAGAAAAGCAAGGTGGGCATGCTTCCAAAACAGGACATGCCTAAGGAGTGAACAAGGTTTGAGTGAGGTTACTTTTGTTTGAGACATTCTGCCTCAGCAAGAAGGCTTGTAAAAGAATCTGACCCAGGTAGGCTTCCTGAGATGTCTGGAAGTGGCAAGCAGAGTTCATGGAAATGGCAATAAGAGGGCATGGAAATGCTTGATGCACATTATCATTGTTAGCCAGGGGTTTAATTGATGTCAGCATGTTCTGGAAGAGCTGCTGGAATGCAGTGTCTGGCTTGCTGCGGTTGGGATTTTTAGAGAGCCTGTAGAAAGTCAAGAGGACTTTCAGTGGACTTTGAACTGCTTATCTGGTGCTCCTATTTTATTTACAGAGAAGTGAAAGACCAAGGTAGCAGATAAACAGACATTGACAAAGAGAAGCCAAATCACTTGGCTTTTATGGCATTAACAATTTCCCGCAAAGTTTGTTATTTTCAGTTGCTGTCAATGAACTGGTCCTTCCACAGCCTTCTGTGAGACAGCAGGCATGCCATAGCTCGGAGTGGTAATAGTTGTGAGCAGCGTTTTGCTCTTTGCCACGAGCAGCCTGTGAATGTGACTGCTCATAGTGTACAGGTAACCACGGCACGGTTAAAAGGAAGCAACCTTTGTAAGTTTGAATTGTGTGTTGTCCTTACCCCTGCTAGCATCATGCAGAGTTGGGTTAGGATACCTATAAAAGGTCAAACCTTTCTCAGGCCTACAAGGTAATGGAGGAAGCACATTTCACAACACATTGTGGTTTATGACTCTCTCTGACCTTTTTTTGCCCTGACCCTATGGTAACTGAGATTGACAGCTGGTGCCCACTGGGCATTTAGGGACATTACAAACCAGCTGCTTTTTAAATTTGAGGAACCCTCTCACCAAATGAAGTGGCATCACCTTCCAGTTCTACTAATGGACTTCGACATCTTTGACCGCTTGAACCTGCACAAAGGAGGGACACAGCAATTAAAAATAAACAGTGACATTGTCAAACGCCCATGCTTGCTCTGATTGGGGCTGAGAGCACCAGCAGTGCATGGATTCCTTTATGCTGTTGCCTATGTAAATTGCCATCTGGGGTTGATTATCCATACAGCAAAAAGAAAAATTATATATATGTTTTTGGCAAAAAGCTTTGACACAGCAAACAGTTCACTATCCGATTGAGTTAGTACTATTTGCTCACTAGCACTTGAAATCCACCTTGAAGAGCATGAACGTAGGATTTCTGCAGCAAAAACATAGTGTTGGCAGAATTCTGAATGTCCATTAAGATTACTTCGGTGGTCTTTCAATCTCTACAGTCTTCCAGTTTATAAACTGTAACAACTTGTGACATTTTTATTTCTGCTTTATAAAAGTTCCTGGAGTGAAATAGTAAGGATTTTTTTCCCCAGTATAGATTGACTTTACGGTTAAGTTTGGTCCTAATCATTTCAAAATACTGGTCTAAGTACATTATGTTTAGTGACTTTAGTTTGTGAGCATTTCAAATTGTAGACCTATTTTTTATAGCATTCTTTAATTGAAAAAGTAAGTTTTTTCAGTGGGGGAGAAGTATCTTTGCCTTCCTTACACAGGTGAAAAGAAAAATAATAGCTTAAGAACAGCATCTACTTACGAAGCCAACACAAAATAGGCAAGAACCATGAATTTTGTTCTTGCTGGTGGTCTTAACGCAAAGAAACAAAGTCCTGTGTGAGAAGTAATGTTAAATGCAGTGTGGGATGTTGTCTTCCTTCTGCCCAGGATTAGTGATTCTGGCTTTGGATTGCACAGTTGCAGACGCACTAGAAGTATGGGAAGATTGTATAAAACAGTGATCTGTTAGTATTCCTTTAAAGAGAAGAGGTTTTCAGGCACAAAAAGTGTTCCAGGTTAGCTAATAAGAATCACTCTGACTTAAGAGTTGTGAGAGTTCATGGAAGAGGTCATGTTGAACTGAGTCAGGGGGCAGAGACAGATGTTCACTGTAAATGGATATTAAGCCAGGGAGGTAGGCTGAAGTCACTTCGTAGGTATGCTTGTTTCAAAGCAAAGCAGTTGCACCTTGATCTGTCAGTAACATATCTGGTCATCCCCAGAGTGTTAATCCAGCACTACCTTAGCTGTGAGCAACTGCTGCAGGCATACAGCAGCCACAAAGCATGTTTGTGGCAGCAGGTACAAACACCACTCTTTTCTTTCAGGATTTCCAAGCAGTAAAAATTAACTTGTGCTTTATATTCCCAATCCTAGCTGTTTTGTGTGATGTAGTTACTGATGAATATTAGAGCAAGCTGATTGCCTGGTGTTTTTTTCCAGCTTATTTTTGCTGTGTGCTGGAGTGGAATAAAGCACTGCTGTAATATAATACGAAGTTTTCTTGTGTAATAAACAAATTCTGGACACCCAGTGATTGGACTGCCCTTGGGAGGTGCCTCTTAGATGTCAGATTTTTTATCTGCAAGGCGCAATTGAGCTGTTATCGTCAAAGGGGAAGAGGAATGTTCATACTGAGTCCAGCCCTCATTGTCACTGTTGTTTGTGCAATTTCTTTTACTAATACCAAATGCGTCAGTCTCAAAAGTTGCAAGAAGGTTTATGAACTGCTTCTCTTGTAGCTGGAGAACACTCACGCAGGTGCTTTAGTACTTTGGTATACTTTTAAGAGGTCCCCTGAGACATCAAGTATGGAGGAGAAAAATGAGAAACTTTCTTCTATTTATCTAGTCAAGTCTCTTAGTAAATTAATATCAGTTTAAACCAGTAGTAGTTTTTGTCTTGGCAAGGGCCTATTTGCTGTCAAACTACATTGCCTTTATGAACTTGTAAGAAGTGTCTTGCGCTTACTTTTAAGTATAACACTTAAAATAGCTTCATGGCTTCACATGCTTCCACCATATGGAAAGAGATCTTTTTTAGCTACCTTGTTGGCTAAATAACCTTGGTCTGTTTTCTGGCCGACATTCTGTAGCATTTAAGATTCATTGAACAAAGAAGTCTTCCAGTGTCTGATAAAATGGCCTTACAAATACTATTTGGGTTATTACCTTCAAACCACTGTAGCTATTTGAACTCTAACATAGTTCTGCTTGTTCCTGCGTGACTGCTTCAGTCTATTTGACATGCCAAGACCTCTGATCAGTGAGTTTTAGTATATAAATGTAATAACTAATTTCAATGTATTTCAGGACTTCTAGCAAGATCATATAGAGTTGCACTATTGAAGAGGACATAAATTATGTCAGAGGATGTAAATTTCTGTATTTAAATCTCAGAAAACAAAGTTGGTTAAAAAAATCCAGTGAGTCATATCACAAAGCAACTTGTACGTGGAATTTCATGGTGAAATTTTATATGTTTACCACTTTTCAGTTTCCATTTCTTGTTCCTCAAAGCGTACCTCTTCCAAAATTCAGGATGTCTTGGTAGTATTTTGCTTTGCACTGCAAGTAGAGCCAATGCTAAATTTTCTGAAAGGATACCTGACTGCTGTTTCTGTACCTGTTTTTTCAAGGCTTCTTGGATGTTCCTTACCCAATGGTGCTAAAGCAGCAGTTCAAATGCTGCAGTTCATCTGCTGCGGAAAGAAGCCTGGCTCACCTAGAACATGGCTTGTTTGTGTAATCTTTTTGTTCCCCTTCCTAGGGGTATGTGATAGAAAGATACCTTGTCACTGAGTACAACTTGCTGTGTTAGCAGTTATGTCAAACAATACTACAGAAAGTTACTAAGATTCATTTAAAACTGACCATTTTGTCCCACTGTTCTTCTTGGGAGACTATTTCAGAAGCTAATTTCTGTGATGGCTAGGAATGTCTCAATTTCCACCTTGCTTTTTCCTTTGAAGCCTGGCTGTAACTTACTGTATTGGTACTTCCTTGTTATGATAAACTTTTCAGCCAACTTTTCTTTTCATTGATATGCTGTGAAGAAGGCAGTTCAAAAAGTGTGTGTGTGGGGGGAATAAATTAAATGTAACTGGTAAAATTGTTTCCCGGTGGGAAGACAGTTCATAATACATATTAAAATATGTGGGTAATAAAATATGAGTGTTAAATCCTAAATCAATAAATTAAACGTCCGCATAATGTTATACATGCAGTTTAATTCAGAACAAGTATTAAACTGTTTCTTTAATTGTCTGCCACTTCTTAAGCATGGGTTGTATTTTTTGGAGATTTTCTCCTTTCCTAGAAAACATCAGAGTGAATCCTACTGGTTTTGTATCTGCTGTGGCATTTACTTAAAAGCAAACCATGCAGGATTTGGCTTATATTGGAAAGTATTCTTTCAACATTTGGGGATATTATCAGTTGTTTTGGAAGAATTAAACTCCTCAGCACAGTTCTTTGTGGTTAAGTGAAGGATTAAAGACCTGATCCAGTGCCCATGGAATAAAATTTAGATCTGGCAGTAAAAACTTCTCAAATCTTTTTGGCTCGGTCTCTTAAGAGACTAGGAACAGCAGATGCTGAGTTCTTTTAAAGATCAGTTCCCTCGTTTTCAGTGTGTTCTTCTGTAACTTCTTACCATTTATCACTCCTTAACAAAAAAGGCCACAAAGGAAAGGAATCCATTTTAATTTTGGAAGAAAAAAAAATCTAATTAAATTCAGACTTTAAAAAGACTTGGGAGTTCTGTACGCTGCTATTTTTTAGCTACCCGCTACTGATGTACAGTAGCTATAGGTTTGTATCACTTGCCATTTTTATTAAGCATCGTACAGGTAG